CCGTGCTCTGCATTTTCAACATGGAAAAAGCAGCGGGGTTGCGATGGCAACAAATCCCAAATCAGCGCAGCGCTCGGACCCCACATTTCCCCCACTTTCTTCCTCCTCCTCGTCCCTGGCCAACTCCCAGCAGATCTGGAGCTCAGACCTCAAACCGGCCTACTTAGGGGAGCAGGGATAAGGCTTGGAACAGGGATCATGTCCAAAGCTCCACACTCGATCCCAGAGCAGGAACGTGTGCCAGCGGATACGGGTGCACAGTAGACAGCTCCCCTAACTCACAACTGCTGCCATTAACTTTCCATGGAGCATTCAGAAAATGATTTGTATCCACGGTCTGCTGGATATTAGGTCTTATCCCGGTTATTTATGTGATGTTAATGTGCCTCCACATTTACTTTCATAAACTAAGATGGGATTCTGGATATTACCATGGAAACTGAAGAGAGATTGACTACAAAAACCAGCAGTGAATGGCCTGCCAATTTATTCAAATTTGGTGGCAGATAATCCTGATTTGAGCTTATTCCAATGGTTGTAAACACATTATAGTGATTTTGTTTGTCCAGAATAATATCAGAGTGAGGGCTACAACTATCAGTTATGTTCACTATTGATTAATCTGTTCAATTTCCATTACAAGTTCTTGGAGCCTAAGCTGACATCTTCAAATGCCTTGTTTTGTTCAACCAGCAGTACAAAAGCCAAATGTATAAATTATATAATACAATGATATAAAACAGAGAAAAGCAGCCAATCGTCTCATTTAATATCAGGTAATAAGTAAATATTTTAGATTTTGATTTTTGCTTTATTAAATTATGAATCAATCATCCAAACCTGATTAATTTTCTGTTGATTCCTTGACTAATTGTTTCATAACTAATCAGAATGTTACATTTGTATTGAAATCAAAACATGCTGGGAAAACTGTCGCCCCAGACTATTAAAAAAAAACTATTGAGACTATTAAATCATCAGTGTTTTGATTGGTAAGTTGTCCTCTTCAGGCACCCTTCAACCGTGGGGAATAAATAGTTTTCCATTGGAGTTATGATACATATAGCACATGTTGCAGGCTGTGTGTAAGGCTGCAGCAGACGAGCAGTTAACACAGTTGCTGTTCGGTGGTTCGACAGACTGCTTGCCCTTGCTGGAGCTGATGTGTCGTGAGGCGGACTGATGTGAAGCTGTTATGACAGTCGAGTTGACTTTCTGCCTCATCTCAGTTCCTGGAATAATTAGATTGATTGTTGCTTGACTAAGAGCACCAAAGAACAGCATGTAAAAATGTAGGATTAAAGCTGTAAAAATATATATTCTGACCAGCCTGAATTGAAAAATAAGGCTGCAGTGGAGAAGAGTGCTGTTCAATATTTTTTATAATAACAATGTGAAAACAATATGAAAGGTTTTGCTTGTAGTGAGGAACCTTCAAGGAATGATCACCTACACCTCTAGCTCTACTTTGTGGAGCTTTTATACCAAGTTTCAGCTCATTGTTAATCTGTCAGGTATGCAACTACACTATTTTAGTTCACTCTCACTGCTCTCATAGCGTTGTATTATATTTGGCCGCACCAGGCAGCAAAAAAGCTCCAAAAACGTACTGTATACTACGTGCTCAACAGCAGACAGGTGCAGTTAGTGACAAGCAACTGAAATTTCCCGCAGGGGTTGGTAGACACCAAAACCTTGTGTAAAACCTTGTTTATAACAAAAGGGAGAGCTGCATCCGTATTGGTTTTGACTCCACCAGGGTTGCCCCTTGTCTCTGGATGGTATATCTCATTTGGCCTGGGAACGCCTTGGTAGGGATTAGGATATCTGGAATAGCCAGCCTGCTGCCACTGCGACCTGACCCTGGATAAGTGGAAGTTAATGGATGGATGGATGGATGAATGGATGGACCGATTGATAGCATGAAGAAAGAGGAGCCCAATCCCAATGTCCCCCCTCACAGACTTTGAGGCGCGTTCCCAGGAAGTCCATGAGGGCTTAGGGCTGTCCCACTGTCAAATCGTCAAGTGCGCGAGGGCTTTCTCGCGGAATTTTGAGCCCTTTTTAGACCCTTTTCTTAAGTCCGCATTTCTGCAGACTTTTGCTGAGGGAATTGCCCACAGTTCACAGTGGTATGATGTGAAACACAGGGGTTACCAAGGGAAGCCCGGAAGCGAGAGAAATATCACGGCAAAGCCGCGTTATAAGAGAAGAAGAAAACGGTAAACAAACAAGCATCGACACCTAGGCTGATGTCAAAATTGTTGAAAGTTTTCTTAACTTAAGATGCTGCATAGAACACATGACGTCAGAGGAATGCAATAACATTATTACACACTTAGTTTATTCAACTATTTATTCTATATTTATATATATTTATTCTGCTTAATGATACTGTTTGACCAACAATAGTGTATTCATTATTGACAAATATATATTGACATTTAGGCTACCTCTCCTCCACTCTGTAGGACGAGAGCCTGCAGGACTTAAAAATAAGGCAAAAACATAAAATAAAAAGTGTGCAACGTGTTTCAGCGTCGTCAAGGTAACGTGATAAAGTGGCAAAGTGCTGTCCTTTACAGCATTTTCAGCCCTTGCAGCCTCTTAAACTCAATCACTTTCCAAGTGACGTCAGTAAAGTCTGTGAGGGTTCAGGGCTTAGGGCTTAGGGGGGGACATTGGGATTGGGCCAAGGAGTAAGGAAACATCAGGAAAGAGAGAGGGTGGCATGTGACAAAGATGGATGGCCAGAATTAAACCCGGAATGTCACGGGAATGTAATGGTATTCATCCTAACCACCTCTGGATGCATTTTACTGCCATGTTGCACAATTTTTGGGTATTCGAGTTCATACTTTTCAGCTACCTCACGGCTATCTGCAGCTGTGAATATATGAAGTGTCATTGCGTTGTTTAAGTGTTCATAATCTATTGTTTCATATTTCGTCTTTGTCCTAGTTTACTTTGGCCTCAAGCCCAGTTTAGACAGACAGTTGCTGCTGTCTGCTGTGCGGAGGGAATGGGGGGAGATGATTCAGCAGCAGCACAGCCTATTTCTCACCCCAGATACTGTTTTTTTTGCAGACATATGTTTGTTGTCTATTTATGTGAAGATAAAGTTTTAAATCAAGGATATTTGTTCACTTGGCTGCCGTTTGTTGTTACAATCCAGTCTCCATTGCAACAGTGATCAGTAATTTTAGTTATTTATTAACTATTTAAGAAATATATTGTTGTAAACTGAATAAGTTTGGGTTGTGAACTGCTGGTTGGACAAAACAAGACCGTGGGCTCTGGGAAAGATTTTCACAATTTTGTGACATTTCACATTAATGTAAATGGAAGAAATAATTGATAGATGACAGATGAATTCATAATAAAATTGCTGTTATTTGCAGCGATGTTCTGAGAGAAGTTGTCTGTCTGTCATGCTGTTATCCAGTGGTCGCTGTGCAATGATGCAGGGAAAAAAGTTGACTGATGAAATTAAGTTCAGATCAGGGCTTCTTAAAGGATTGGTTCACATGTTTTCATGTCTGTCGTAAAACAATACATACACATGACCATATTTACCACAAAACTATTTTTGGTTGCTTTAATTTTTTTTCTGCCCATATAGGCAAAAGAAAGATCCCTTTCCGCTGCAGTTCCAGTGGAAATGATGGGGAACAGTCCGTCTTCTTTCTGTAATAATATGATGCTTAAACAGCCTTTAGTTAGACAAATCAAATAGGTATTTGCCCAAATGATTACCTATATACTTAGAAATCAAGAAAGCGCTGTCGAGGGAAGCACAAAGAGGGAGCTTCATTCTAAACAAGACTAACTTTTGTCACTGCTAAAGCTTCACATTTCCTTTTGCTTGAACTTTTTCACAGAATGAGGACTTTTTTTGATATTTTTTCTTGTATCACTTGAAATTGAAATCACTTAAGGAAGTGGTCTCTTTGCGGGTATGGAAAGGAAGAAGAATTACAGCAACCAAAAACTGTTTCAAAGTACATATAGCCATGTGTGTATTGTTTCAAGACAACTGTGAATCCTTTAACTGATAATATCAACATTTAGATGGCAGTCTTAGTTTCAGCCATACTCTGTTCCACTAACATGTACTCCAAAGGCAGTAAATACTTTGACACAGTTTGGCTCTGGCTCTGGACTCAATTCAGGTTACATAGTGATATTTGGAAGACAAAAGCTGTCACAAGGGAATAGTTGACAGGCAGCGAGCCCTGAGGGGCTGTACTAGTCATGTGTTTTCATGTCTGTTGTTAATCATCATCGCTGCAGACAGACACTTGTCCAGATCTGCAGTAGTAGTGGAGTCATCATCTCTACATTGAGGTCACAGGGAGAGGCTGCTCCTTCCAAACATTTCCTAATATCTTCTGTCTTGATTTGACATCTTTTTACTCTCCTCACACAAATTCTCTCTGATTTTCTCTCTCTCTCACACACTCTAGCTCTTACAGTCAGTTACTCTCATGCACACAGTAAATGCTGCTGGAATGTGGGATGTGGACTCTATGTGGCCCAGGCTAGTCCTGCTCCATTCAGCAGCAAATCCCCCTGGTTTAGGATTTGCTTTTACAGTCCGGTGTGCCAGGGACCGTACTCACCCGTAAGAATCTCTCACCGACTTGTCATGTTTTTTGAGGGGGAAGAATGTGAAGTAATGTGCCTGAATGAGTTGAGTCATAATTAACGTTGAAGTGCTATTGGCCTGTGTCATTGTTCGCCCAGTCAGATACCAGGTGACCTAACAAAGTCTTTGGTTTCAGTTTGTCTCTTGATATGGGATTGTGAAACATGGCTGCGGGCTAAAGGCAGTTGAGATTACAGTTTTTTTTGTCAGTGAAATGTCAAGGCCCGCATCAATACTTCAGCTTACAGAATCTGGAAATATTCTTCTCTAACTTAAACAAGCTGTACTGTTGTCGTCTTACAAAGGTTACAACCACATCCGAAATACGTATTGTTTTATTTTTCTTCCCCAGGCCTCCCCTTCCTGAGAGCTCCATGGAGAAAATGAAGCGGTTCAAACGACGTCTCTCTCAGACGCTACGAGGCAGCCACACTATAGACGAGTCGCTGTCTGAGTTGGCTGAGCAGATGACCATCGAGGAGAATGGCCTGAAGGATAGCGGTGAGTTTTTGAAGCCATTTTGATGTTAATTGAATTGCAAAGTGGAAAGAGTCGCTGTATCCAGAAGTATTTTTGGATGCAGCATAAATTCCCATTTGAATGTTTTATGATGGTATTCTCGATATTCTTAAATCATACATACATACTCGTTTCAGACATGGCATCTGTAATACTGCTGCCTTCATCTTTCTGTTAAAGTAATGTTTTTTTGGAATTCATATAGGGTTTAATGATACGGCGAGATATACATGGTAAATCCATCCAACCGTTTTAAAAATTTTCACTTTAAACCAAAAAGATCAACCTCAAGGTTAGTGCTACATGAAAATAGAAATATGTCAGCTGTTAGAGATTTTGCTATATGGTTTGATGTATCACTTTATTGTCTCTGGGATTATTATTATAGGTAATGTTGTAAATCAATGGTCAGGACTGCTTTATGACAATATTGGATTTTGGCATCAACGTAACTTGTTTTGTCAGGTATTTAGGATTTTCCTGTTTTTCAATTATTTTTTTCCAGACAAAAAAATGTCTATTTCTATATAGAGATATTGCAGTATAGTATTATATATTCAGTGATAGAGGATTTTTTACAAACCATCTACTCCTACGTTCATAGGTCTTTGTTATGTCTAACTTTTCTAAACATGACAAGACGATTATTTATGGGTAAATCTGCAATGCCTACGTGATGTTTGACTCTTGGTACGTAGCATAATTGGTGCTGCTGGAGATCAGTGGATCAGTTAACTGCAGTTCAAGTACTTTTTATCTCCATCAATAAGTGAATAAGGGAGTTGTAGTCCAACCATTACCAAAACAGCCATGACTTTTACAGAAAAGTAATTTATTTGCTCAATTTTAATGGCCTTCAGCTATCCTCTAGTGGTACTCCAACATAATTTTAAGCTCAATGATTGGATATGTCTCGCTGAAATGCACCTTGGAAGTTGTGGTTTACCTTTGTCCTTAAGCTTTTACTTGCATCCAAGCCTTGGAAATCGTCTAGTTGCTGCTTCAGAAAATGAATATGACTTTTACAGGAATAGCTCCTTCAACTTTACAAATCTATGGGCAGTTTGTCCGACATGACTCTGTTACTCAGTTACTGTAGAGACACTATGTTCGACACTTGCAGATTCTGTTGTTGGTTATATAACTCATTCGGATCCTATTGAAGGTTGTGGCCTTCAGGCGTTAAAATAAAAAAGTAAAAGTGGCACAGCAGCTTATCTCTGCTGAAAAATCTGCAGGGTGCGATGGGAGGGAGCACGCCTCGGTGTGCTACCACATCGTTGCCATGGCTCTCAGTATCTGGAAACCCTCTGGAGTTTCCATGACAATGCCAAGGCAACTTGAATGACTTGGTGAAACCAGCCAGGCATGTTGATGCATTTTCCCTTTTTTTTTTTGCATCTTTCAGCTCTTCTTCTTCTTTTTTGGCCACCCCGAGACCCCCCTCCCTAACCCCCAAAGCTTCTTTCAGGCCTGTCCTCAGTTTTCCTCTTGTCTTTTGTTCAAATGAGAAGTTTTTTCCCCCCTTCAATCAATCTGATCATCCAAGTCGTCCCCTCCTCCCCACCTCCCTTTGAGAACTTACTGGACTTTGTAAAGAGCTTTTTGTATAGTGATTAACACCAGGTTTGGCCAGACTGTTCTGTGCTTGGTGAGTTGGGACACAGAATCGTGTGTGTGTGTGTGTGTCTGAGCTTTCATGAGGGGATTTCAGCAGCCTAGAGAGGAGACAGAATGGAGTAGCCAGATGAGATGTGATCTGAACCCTGTGATTGGGGGGAAGCGTTCTGGTTCTGATCTGATTATGTAACACTTATAACTCAGGCCAGCAGCAGCAGCTGCAGAGAGAGAGATGAGAGAGGTGGCACAAGGACCTGGATATTACATGGGGGGCTTTGTATTTTTCTGTTGTCATAGGAAATCTAGGAAACGCCTCATTGGTGTTATATGGGAATGTTGATGAATACAACACAAATACAACAACAACAACAGAATAACAAATTGATGACATGGTTCCTAATATAGTGCATACCAGATGTTCTAGTTTTGACATCCACACTGATAAAACTGTTACGTCACACAGCACTCTGAATCAGCCTCGAAAAGGCAGCCTGAATCTTGTGAGCTTAATTTTAGTAATAAGATTTAACTTGTGGAAGCCAGACAAATCAGAAAGCTGTAGGGGGATGGTTTAGATGGTGACTTTACCTGCTTCCTCTCAAAGCTTGTAAACTGTTTATTGTATGCATTGTAGATATAAAATGAAGCATGATTCATGTTAAAGATACATTTGACAGAACAGTTTCCATGTTTTTCCAGCTTGACAATCACTGCCAATTGTTGATGACCCCAGTCAGGAGTGCATTTATCTGCATAGGAAGCTGTGATGATGAAGGAAAGCACATTCAGTTATCAGTTAAACAGACCAAAACAAACACCTATTGAGTCTAGCAAAACTTTACAGCGACTAAAACAAAATAGTAGTTGGTTATGCAATTTGCAAAGTTGTTTAATTATGTTCATATTTCAATACATAACCTATGTATCGGGTAGGGATGTCACGAGAACCGATCCATCTGTATCAAATCGATGCCAAAATTCTGAAAACATGACAGTAGTCATTCTACAGTACCAGGTGTACCTGGTAGGGCTGGGATGATATCATTTGACAATAGAAAAATCTCTATTGTTTACAATTATACTCTATTATTTATTTTGTTGTGTCACAAATTCCACACTTTGCACACTCACATTCCGCGCTTAAATCTCCAGCTTAAAACTAACTTCACTGCTGTCCGTTCTTCCACTCTTGCCTTGTTGCAGGGAATACATTTGCATTCAGAATAAACAAACGTGGAGGAGAGGGAAGTTTATGCAGAAATAAGCAACACTGAACAGGAGGACAGTGCAAGCAAAGACGAACTCAGAATGCACCTGTCGTTATTGGTGAAATTAGTGACCATCCTAAAAGTGCAATAAAATCCATTTCAATCGTCAACAACTGCTTAGTTTTTCAACATAGAAATCTCAAACCTTTGCCAATATAGATAGAGACCACTCATAAACAATTCACACATGTGAGTTTGTAAAGTTCAGAAGTTTTTTTTAAAGGGATTTATGGTTTTAGATTTTTTATGCAGTCTGATAGTATCAAATCGGGTATCTAGAATCATGGAATTTCACTGGTATTGTTATCGACTACTAAATTTCTGGCATCATGACATCCCTTGTATGGGGTTACTTTTGGCCGTTAACTAAAATATAAATGGGTTTGCAAAGCATTGAACAAAACTGCAACCCAAAATTACCATCATTCCTAAATATAGCAAAGATTACAATAGCTATGTTTCCATTTAATTGTCATGCAAATTTTAAACAGGCTTTTGAAATGTCGCAAAAAAGAAAAAAAAAATTAAATGCAAAATATGTGCATTTATATCAGCTGGTTTGGAACAAATAAATCAGGCCACGGCAAGCATAGTTACGTCAGTAGTTGACGTTACCCATGGCGGTAATAAACAAGACGTATGGGTTTCAAACCAGAAACAAAACCAGCTGCATGGAAGTGATGGGCATTGATCTTAGAAAAACAGAGAGAGGTCCTCAAGAATGTGTTTTAACCCCGACAGCGGAAACAGCTGAACAGACTTGAAGTTTGCTACGTCAGAAGTTATTCGGCAAAAGTGTTTCCATCTCCCATTTAGTGCATTTACTCTTTTTCAACAAAGGCAAAAACCACAGCAAGTGAGCGTAAAAACCTTTTTGCAAAATTAAGAATTTTTTTCTTGAATTTTGCCATTTCCATCAACCTTTTCTAATGCTATTCAAAGTTCACATAAAAAAACGTTGATGGAATCACCTTTCTTTACATTTCACATTGTTGCTCTTGAATGATAGTAATTTTGCAGTTTTTGTTGGATTGGTTGCAATCCCGCATTTCTTTGCCTTTTTTAACAGCCAAAATGAACCCAGTACACCTGTCCGCAGACTGTAGCTACCATAGCTGCCACCCTTGACTTGTTCCATTGCTGCTTCAGACATATGACACGGGCTCAGTCTCATTCCAGCCTCTACACACTAACCCTAATCTACTCTGCCTCTGTATGTTTGGGTGGAGGGTTAATCATATCCAGGGCCATCCCAAACCAGACAGTGTTGAGTAAGGGTCAACCGTAAAAAGACCATGCACATAAAAAGTAAAAACACCTAAAAACTCTTTCTCTCTGACCCTGACAAACTAATCTGTGTGCTCCTTAACCATCTTTCTTTTCTGTGATGGAATCGTCTACTCTATGTTGCCTATATATCTCGTCCTAATCTTCATTGCTCTTCTTGCACACGTCCTACAGTATCCATCTGTCTGAGCTCTTGACTGCTTAACAGCTTCTCTGGGGCTCCATTTTCTCCCCACTCTCACTGTTGGTATTTTAGTTGGTGCTATACATAATAAATCTTTCACCTCCATCAGCTCAATTCATGCTTTTGGACAAATGCTCCTCTGTCTGGCAGTTGTAGACCCTTTTTTCAAAAGAGCCAAGATACACTGCTGAGACTACAAGACATGTTTTTTACATAGACTCTCTCAGTTATCTACTTTTGATATTGTAAATTTACTGTATTAGGGTTACACTGGAAGAGGGAACACATTGTAACTGCCCCAGCTCTGTAACAATTACATAACGCTTGTTTCTGTGGGAGAATGTGATATTCTGGACAAATCAAAGCACATTAAAATTAGACCGCTCCAAATGACTTTGGTTTTGGTAAAGCCAAAGTACCGTTACTTATAAGCGGCATTGTGTTTTGTTTTATGATGATTTCAGGTGTGCTAAATAATACGTTTCTCTCAAATTCTCAAGTTTTCATGTAGATTTAACACATTTCAATACCCTAAACTGCTCATTTCCAGAACACAATCTATTGTATAATCTGTTGTATAGTATTTCATCCGTGCTTTACTTTTACCATCTCTGTGTCTGTCTTTTAATGGATGTTGGCACAATTCTTTTTTCTCGAAACCAGCTGTTTCCTACTGTTTATCAGTCTCACCTGTTTGACTTCTTCAATTTCTCCGTTTTTAAACCTGTGATAAAGAAAATTCAGAATTCTTCTCATTTATGGAAACATACGTTATGTTGAATAGAATTTATTTAGCATGCAATGACCGTCTTACCAAGGCACAGAAGTTAACTGATATTACATGCAAATCTATGCATCAGTAGATTGCAAGTTAAAACCTCTTATGTAACTGTGATTTTTTTTATACAGTCTGGTGTTTTGCCATGTCAGTTAGTGCATCAGAAAACATTAAGTCCAGCAAAATCCCTGAAATCCTCACCACCTTCCAACTACTATTAAAATGTTAAATGAAGTTTCAGCCAACTAGGCTTTTATTGATGTGTACTGAGATTTGATGTTTGTGAATGTTTGGAAAATGGAACCATGTAATATGCTTAGACAAAATTTTTGATTGTTTTTTATGATTAAAGCTCATACTTGATAAAGAAATAACATATGATCATTCTGAAGTACAGAGTATGTGAATAAACAAAGTTTTAGAACTAACATCACGCTTACAACGTGAAGAAGAATAATCCCTCGTGTGCTGTTTAAGCTTGAGCATTTTAGCACAAACAGTTTTCTCTGTTAATACTGTTTCTCACAATGTATTCAGCATACACAGAAAAATGCACTTTTATAATACATTTACACCACAGAGAAAATTGAAGTGTGAAAGTCGTTGACCTGTTTAGCTGATGGTCAGATTATGCTGTAAAAAATTGTCCTAAAGGGCAAAAGTGTTTTATAGTTGTTTTGAACGGGCACAATCGAAGGCGGAGACAAGTTCAAACCTTGCCACACACCGGGTCAGTATCCAAGCTGATACTGATCTTATTAACCATGTGACAGATTCACATTAAATGTAGCTTCTTTGTCAATATTTTCATTACCAGTTACATCCATTCAGTCACAGCCTCAGATGCTTAGTCGATCACAGAGCAATGTGCATCCGTACGCATGTAAAATTATTTTTATTTGTTTTTTTGGCATCATTCAACAAAAAAATGTTGCCTTATTTCACAGAGCCCATAGTGAGGAATGGTCGTCCTCCGTCTGCCCACAGTGTACACTCCTTCCTCCACCAGTACACAGGCTCCTTTAAAAAGCCGCCGCTGCGACGACCTCAGAGCGTCATCGGAGGAGGCCTGGGCTCTCTAATGGTCATGCCTCGCAACGGCAGCCGCCTCGGTGAGAAACACACACCATCACATCCAAGTACACAGGCTGGGATCACAATTAATAGTTGAACTTTAAACAGAGGTTCAGTACAGGAAATTCTTTTGTGTGTGTTAATAGGTCGAATCTGTTTAGAAGTTGCTACAGTTGCTAAATTTTAATACAGATTTCTGTTTAAATTTGATGTGACGCTGCTCAAAATAAATGCTTGCATATACAATGTCTACATACAAAGCTAAACTCCTTGTCTTACACATTTCTACTGAGTCAGCTGAGCCTACAAACACACTGACATATTGTGTGAAAACATGCGCTCAAACAAACCACTGCTAGAGGCATATGCAGACACATGCTTATATATCAGTACGATCATTCCAGTGCATATCCAGTCACACAATGAGCCATTTGTTAAAAAAAAGAGACTAAAAATAAAATTCTTTGCTTCCAGCAAACCAGCAGCTTGGATTCTCAACCCAGATAAAATATTTAAATTCACAACTTTCCTTAATATAAACATAACGCTGGGAGCAATGTGCTTTATATGTATGAAACCTGAGGTTGTTTAGGCATGGGAAAATTACGGTGTGATGTATGGTGGTATGATTGTCTTATAAGGCCCTGTGGCGTTAAATAAATGAATAATTATTATTATCAGTCAACCTAATATACCTGTATATCCTGTGTTTGACACAGCCAGGAGCTTGATGATAGTAGTAATAATAATAATAATCTTTATTTGTAGAGCACTTTTCAAAAACAAGTTACAAAGAACAGAGGGGCTTGTAAAAGTGTGCAAAAGAGTGTTTTTCTTTCCTGTTGAAGTCATCAGCCGATGTTGAGTCCTGCCCTGTTTTCCGCAAACCCGCTCCATCAGTCAGACTCAACCTCCCATCCTCCTTTAATCTCTCCATTTGTCTTTCTCTACTCCAGATATCGTCCATGAGAACCTGAAGATGGGGTCGGACGGGGAGAGTGACCAGGCATCGGGGACTTCCTCTGATGAGGTGCAGTCGCCCACCGGTGTTTGTCTGAGGAACAGAGGGAACAGACGCATCTCTGCAGAGGTGGGATTTGTTATTTTGTGTTTTCAGGCGTTCATTGTTCTTGCATAGCCTTTCTGCTTTTTAAATGGAGACTGTGTTGTGGGGTATGAGTCACTGGCTACTATTAACAAGCTTTGACATTTGAATATGTTACTGTTATGAATCATGGCCCATTTATTCCTACCTGGCTTAGCGGTTCAGCTTACACTTTGTCGTTAAAAAAAAAAAAAAGCAAAAGACATTTGACAGTGGACTTATCGACACAAATTGGTATTTAATAACATGTGCATTACAGCTTCATGCTGTAACTCAGCGTAGGTGTATTCTCATAATGTCACGAATACAGAAGTCCTCAGCTGCCCACATTATCTCAGCAGAACATGCACATAGTGACTCCACATCCTGTACTGCAGAACATACTTTTGAAATCAGTTTTTATAAGGTTTCACTTGCTCCACACACCCAACCCCCTTACTTAATTTCTCCCTCTCTGAGTCAGTAAGGGGCAGGTGGACTTCATCTGGTGGTTACATAATGTCAACACATTATGGACAGACTTCTTGCTGTGATTAATATTATTTGTGTGTTATTGTCTAAGAGGGATTTAATTTTTATCACAAGCATTTTTTAATCCAGGGTGCTTGATTTTTGCATTTTAAGTGCAGTGTTAGTATCTCAAATTCATACTGTAAATACGAAGTGGTCATGGTTTGCGTCACACCACACACAGTTTTCAGCGCAGCATATGGAAAGACAGACGTGCATACAAATGCAAAACCAGATCAAGAGTGAAAGCTTTAATCTAGCTTGCTCGTAGGGACACACAAAAGGCATTGAAGTAAGAGAACTCGCTTTACACACTACATTATCTCAAAGTAAAAGATAAAGTGTTCTTAGTGGTGTTTCCCTGAATTTACCAGATTTCTGACATCGTTTGATTATTTTTTAGGTTCCAGTAGTAAATTAAGGGATTCAGATGGATAAAATGACATCTGTGTTTGATCATTCTTTCTTTTGTTTAGGATTCAACATACGTCCTTAACATTGAATTTTAAGTAATGTAAAAATACTGTATATCTCAACATGTGTTTTATATTACTTCAACAAAAAAGTAACAGGCAAAATCTTATCATTTTAACATAAGTTGATGTTTGGATTGTATCTGAGGATTTTAAACAATATCTGAAACTGCGTTTATCTCCCCTTTTTCCAACAACAAAGCCAAGACTCGGTCCCTTCAATCTATCTTAATGGCTACTAATGGGATTTTGAGGATGTACTGACATGAGTCAGTACAAGCAACTGTCCAGTATAATAATTAAAGTATAAAAAGAAAATGGCTGTGAACATCTTGCCTTCTGCGTTATTATTGACCGTAACATTATCTTTTATATTCTCAAACTTACAGAGGAAATGTACAAAAGCAAAAGTTTCGCTTGTGAAATAGATTTGTAATAATTTGTCAGTTTGTCAGTTTTGTTTCCACTTTCAGTTGTTTTTTTCCCCCCATTTTCCATAACATAGTGTGTGTGTTATCATTAAATGTGACCAATTTAAGATGTTGCAAAGTTTTTTCCTATTTTCATAAAAGAACTCAAAATGGGGAGCAACATTAAACAAAAAGAACAGAAACACACTTTATACTTGTTTTTTTATTGTACTGCATGTGTATTTTGATTTGTGGTTGATGCTGACATCTTGACAGGGAGCCACATGTTGCACAGTACCCGCTGTGTGATCATGCGAGGAAAAGTCTTGTGATTGAAGAACACACACTTCCCTCCCGCTGACAGTGTTTATTGGTTGGTTTGATCGCAGGACCTCTGGGGGTTTAAGAGCAGATACCACTAGCTACACAAATAAACCGAGCTTGCAAGACTGCACGAAAACCCCCCCCCCCCCCCCCAACCCTTAAACGAGTTGTGAAGCAGCTTACACCATTTGGGGCTACCCGCAGACTGAGACATGACACATCACCTCTTGCTATGTACCGAGAGTGTGTGCAAGCCGTGCACTCTGCACTTCCTGTGACTGTTTCACAGCCAGAGAAGGTTTATATTGACAGAGGCACGTACACACAAACACTCCTTATACTCCTCCTCGCAGCGCCATGCATTGTTTGCGCTGGTATGAGCAGCGTGATTGACCGGCGGGCTTGTTGTTGATGAAGTGATCCAACAGTGAAATCACTGTGCGGCCTCATCGTTTGTCTTTGTGCGGATGTGACACACAGAGGAGGGACAGTAGAAAAAAGATGAGGAGGAAGAATAGGAGGAGGAGTGAGGAAATCCCTCTGTCTGTGGTCAGGTAGAGGATTGTATGTCTCTCGCTGGAGAGGATGCATTGCTGTTTTGGGATTACATCACAAGGATTACTGTAATACGGTCCAGATGGGCCCCTCTTGTAACAGATTAGGACGGGTTGATTGGACAACTGGAGATGGGTGGTGATGGTGATGGTGGGGGTTTGTTTTGTTGTAGAGGTCAGATGATCACTTGCTCTTCGGACAAACCACCAATCCTGACCCAGCGCACACAAACTACAGACCAGCAGAACTGGGTATAATGCCATTCACAAATACAGATACAGTTGCACATCCTAGCAGCCTAGAAGTTCTCCATATGACTTTATTTTTCACCATTCATTTAGAGCTGAAACAATTAATCTCAATCGACAGAAAAGGAACACCCAGCCCTTTTGATCGTTAATCGTGAGAATTGGCTGCTTCTCTTTGTCTTATATGACAGCAAACTGAATATCTTTCAGTTTTGGACGGACAAAATAAGTGCTTAACTTGTAACTTATGCTGTGGGAAATATTATAAAGGAAACTTTCCCCTGTTTCTCTAGTTTAATAGACAAAGCGATTAATCAAATCATTAAGAAAATATTCATGCAATGAAAGTAATCGTTAGTTGCAGCCCCATTTTGATTATTAAAATTGTTGTGGATAAATTTTCTGTCAGTCGACAAATCATTTTATCAACTAATTGTATCACCTCCACAGTTAATATACACCCAGATGTCACTTAGAAATGTAGATCTGGTACATCCTTTAGCAGCTTGAAATAATATTTTTACTATAATATTAATATTTTTAATTTTTACTTTTTAAGCTTTGTACACGGCACCTTGACCAAATTACTTAAATGATCTTTTAAAAATGCGTTCAAAACATCAAATCTTCACAACAGCAAGAATGTGAGTTGTTGCATTCTGTGTTTAAATCTGTCAGGTGGAGGCAACCTCACAGGCAAAAGGCTGAGTCACTGTCATGGTTTGGATAAAATGTTGAAGGGTCAGTTGACCTGTCTCAGGTCAAGTCGCCTTCAGTTACAGATTTATCAATGAGCATGTTGAAATGTGGAAAGTTCAAAGTTTCATACTGTTGTATGTTACTAAATGTCCAGTGTTATCACAGAGGGTGTGGAAGTTTTAAAGGAGCTAGAGAGGCCGGATAAACAGTAACGTAGCAAATAGAGGAAACGCATGATGGGAAGAATCCAGACGTTGTATTGTGAGTAGGTGTTTCATTTTATATAACAAGCCATGAGGATCATGCTTTAGTACTTTGTTGCTCTTGGAAAGACTTTTCCATGAACTCTTAAAGGGCTCCACAGGCAGCCTTTATTATGTACACATGTTGGCCACACAAAACTGTATAGACGAATGCTCCTACGCGTGTGTTTATACACACACATAGACACACTGCACTCTCTGTTGACCAATGAGGCCTGAACCTGGCTGTTTCCTACAGATTGTACTTATTTATTCTGTGTTTCTGCCATTTTGTTGTCAATCATTGGTATTTATTCAGAGCTTACGCTGTTTGCTGAGGGTTCCTCCTATTTTTTCCAGGGTTGACACCGTTTTTAAATTGGGTCCTCTGTTGTTTTTATCTATTTTATGTGGATGTGTGGGACCAGGACCTGAACAAACGCCTTTCCCTGCCGGCTGACATCCGGATACCTGACGGTTACCTGGAGAAGCTGCAGCTGAGCAGCCCCCCCTTCGACCAGCCGCTGAGCCGACGCTCCCGTAGAGCATCACTGGTGAGACAGAGAGAAGAGGGGAAGAAGGATGGAGAGGGAAAGGAGACTGGTTGGAGGACAAGAAAGAAAAGAGAAAGGAAAATAAGACATTGGCAGATAGTTGGTGAACACCAAAAACAAAGCTAAAAGGACAATGAATATTGGAATTACATTTTAGCAAATTTGCACCATTAACAGTGGGCCGAATTAGCTATTAGCGGTGTACCCCTGGATGTACAGACAACTGTCACTGGATTACTTTGAATCTGAAGAAAACCTACAAACATGATGGTTCTCAGGCATATTCTGGAGTTATTAGGATTGCTTTTATCAATGATTGCTAAGCAGATTTTAGGGACATTTGTTTGCAGAGATAATGACATTCTAAGCAAGTGTAAGTCACTATCAGTCTAAAATGTATGTGTATCGTACATTCAGATTCAGAGAGAGAGAAAGACAAAGAGAGAGAGATCTTAAATCTGGATCTGCAAGGTAGCTTAGCCACAAATGTCAGATCAATGTAGTGGAATATATTTCTCTGTGAAAGGTGGAGAGAAAGTAGATTAAAATAACTGAAGTGCTACTGTACCTCCGAACTTTGCTTATGTAAATATACAGTACTTGCTGCCCACCTCTGAGAGCGAGCAGTACTGATTTGAGAATCAACAGTGGAGGAGAATCAGGCAGAAATGGAGAGAAATAGAAAGGCCGTCAGGGAGGGGCTGCGGAATATAAAGACAGCTGTGAGAGTTATATTTTATTTAAAGGCAGCAAGAAACAGAAGTGAGAGTGTGAGCGCTCCCACCTTGACTGTCTAATCTCATCCTCTCGTCATGTGTTTACACTGCACCTCGACATTCACTTTGTCAGCTGCCTCAATAATTGGCTTGTGGTTTTACTTTGAATGTGCATCTGTCAAAATCAGAACACAGGAAAAGTATGAACAGTGTGCCTCGCCCAGTCCACGGCATTTGCATACACATTCCCCTGCTGTTGAGAAAGCACTGAATGGCTTTGCTCATTATGTGTTCAACATTTTGAAAATCTATGAGCCGCCCAGACCTCACAACTCATCTGGCGACACAGAGCGTCAGCTTAAAGTCTGGTGAAGCTGCCTTTAGTTTGTATGCTCCTAGTTGCTGGAAAAGTCTCAAAATGACTTGCATCTTAGGCATTAAATAGTTTGTATGTGTACTCCCCCCCCCCCCCCGATTATTTTTCATTGTAAGTGAATCTGCCGATTATTTTCTTGAATAATTTAGACATTGTTTTATATAGAAAATGCCAGAGGAAAAAAAGGCAAAAAGCAGTCCAAAACCAAAATAATTTGATTAACTATCAGAAATGATAAAGAAAAGCATCAAATCTTGAAATTAGAGAGGCTGGAACCTCAAAAATGAGTAAGAGATGATTGCCCATTTATTTTCTGTTGACACTAATTGATTAATTCGTTGAGCTCTTGAGCATATTCAAGTTTTCCATTGTGTACTAAACATCTTGCTTTATACATGCTTTATAAATACAGTTTTCCTTTCCTTCCCTATAAACAAACACATTGGAAAAGCCAAAAGCCAACGGTCCTTTGTCACAAGAGATTATCTCTGAATGGCGGTTGGGGGTGTGTGACCTCCTTACACCCCTCCTCTGTTGCTGTGAGGCTGTCATAAGGATTTGTCGTAGTGTCTGTAAGCTTGTCAGTGCTAATAAAGACGCTACCCTCATTAATGGTGTTTGTCCTTTTCTCTCCTCCAGTCAGAAATTGGATTTGGGAAGCTGGAGACTTACATCAAACTGGACAAACTGGGGGAGGTACGTGAGAGTTTGTGTTCGCTATTCACCTTGACTTCTTCACAGGTGCTAATGTTTTCATAGTGAGTGATGTAACACGTACAGACAGCATTAGTAGAGTTTGCTTTTAACCCTTGACAGCCTGACTGCATCAGTCTAGCTTCTGAAACAGTTCCTCACCCCTTTCCTTCTCTTCCTGTCCTCCAGGGCACATACGCTACAGTCTTCAAAGGGCGGAGTAAGCTGACAGACAACCTTGTGGCACTGAAGGAGATAAGACTGGAGCACGAGGAGGGGGCGCCATGCACAGCTATCCGAGAAGGTATAAAAGTTATGCTATATAGTCCACTAGTTATTAGTAGGGTTGAAGGTTTTCCTGTGACTTAAAAATGAACTTGAACAGGAATAACTTTTGCCAGGATTCTGGGATTTCTCACCATAGAACTCCTGATAAGTCATTAACCCATATTGTAATTTTCTAAAGGTGTTCTTTCATATTCATTAGATTATGTGGTAGTACAACATCATTTCCACCCAAAAGAACGCTGTCCAAAATAATTTCTTCCAATGTTGAGCATATTGGTACCAGATTCTGGCCAGAATTCAGCCCTAGTTACCTTTGGTTCAGTTAATTAAACACTTGAACTCATAGAGTAAATAACTTTACCAAAGTGCCTGAAAATACAGGTCGCCCTCCTCAAGGAAAAATGCATTGTGGTTAGTTTGGAGTGAGAATGTAAGAAAACAGGAAAGAGCCCAAACATGCAAAGTGCAATGTGTCCTTTTGTTTTCTTTGAATATACTATTTTATATTTTTGTTGTGGTGTTGTTGATTAGTTAAATCTTTGTGTGTGACATAAGGCTTTATAAATTAACCTTACTTGGGCTTGATCAGTGTAAATTGAAACAAAAATTTGAACTTCAGCTCAAAGAAAATAAGCCAAGAGTGTAATCACACTGTTATAGCCGTCTCCTCTCTCTTTACCTGTAGTGTCGTTACTGAAGGACCTGAAACACGCCAACATTGTGACGCTGCACGACATCGTCCACACAGACAAGTCGCTCACACTGGTCTTTGAGTACCTGGTGAGACCAACAAAACCTCTGCCCTCATCTCCTGCATGACTCGCATGTTATTCTGTGCACAGATGCTGAAATAAATAAATTTTACATTATTATTCATGAGGAAGACGATGTTAATACAGAAGCACAACAGTTGAACTGTTGCAGTTTAGTGTGCCTATTCTTCTGACGTCCTCTCTCCCTCCCTCTCCCTTTCCCTCCCTCTTGTCTAGGACAAAGACCTCAAGCAGTACATGGATGACTGCGGGAACATCCTGAGCATGCAGAATGTCAAGGTGAGCCTCCGCAGGCTGCCTGCTGGCCCGGCCAACTTCACCAACTCTCACGACTTTGTGGTTTCTGATGTCAATACAAGAAACACTGTTTGTGTGCCCCCTGGTGGTGGAATGTAGTGTGAACCTGACTTTTCCACAAAAATCTGTTTTGTTTGTTTGCGTTTTGTTGAAATTTGGTTTAATGTCCCTTTGAATAGAAATGACATACTGCATATTAAACTCATCTTTGGCTGTTTGGATGGAGCATATAAATAATAAAAATATTTATTTTATTCTCCTAAATATCTATACTCCAGGGGGGCTTTGATAAATTGCATTAAATGTAGCAACATCATCTGTAACATATCAAATCTATAAAATCTATTCAGCATCAGTCTAAAACTAATTTGAACAGAATGGTAACTGTTGCTGATCTAAAATATCTTTTTCTCCAGATTTTTCTGTTCCAGATCCTGCGAGGCTTGGCGTACTGTCACAGACGGAAAGTTCTCCACAGAGACCTGAAGCCCCAGAATCTGCTAATCAATGATAGAGGAGAACTCAAACTAGCTGACTTTGGTAAACAGACAAACAAAAACGATATGCTTCTTTCATGTCAGAGGTTTTTCTTCAAATTAATTATCTGCCATGTGGATAAAAAGTCACCTGTTGATACATTTCTGAAGCTGCATTTGTCTGTATTTTACAAATACTGCGTGATACAATTCAGCCATATAATTTTTTTTTATATTTGGCATTTTGAAATGAAACCCTGAGCTTCTACCAAATTTGTCCTTTGGATCTGTATTTATTTGGCATATTTCTGCTCCACAGGCCTGGCGAGGGCCAAGTCTGTGCCCACTAAAACATACTCTAACGAGGTGGTAACGCTTTGGTATCGCCCTCCCGACGTGCTGCTGGGCTCCTCAGAGTACTCCACACAGATAGACATGTGGTGAGTGGGCCTCACTCTACAGGGGTGATTACAACTGTTACAAAACACTAAGTAGACTCCTGGCTACTCTCTCTTTATGTCCAGACGACTGAGTTCAGTGAAGGTGCAGCTGCAGATTAACAATATAAAATTTCCTGTCATGAATTTCAAATTTTTGTCTTCTCGTCTCAAACCGCTTCAGTGAGTTGTAGTTAGGGTTGGGTATCGTTTGGATACCAGTACCAAACCCCCAGTACCCTTAAAGTGATACTGATACCAATTGAGTACTTCATTCGATACCTTGCATAAAATGTCACCTGTTGACATGTCACCTGATAAGTAGCTTATTATTATTATTGTTATTGCTATGGACAAGCAAGGTTTTCTATTAAATTTTTTTCTTGTTTCAAATAACTGCTACATAAAAAGTATTGGGAAATTGTATCACATGGCTCCCCATCCTAATTAGGTTGTCCTCACTGGTAGTATTAGCCTATAAAGAGAAAGACTACAGCTTGGGAGTTATTTTTTATTTGAATGAGAGAGGACGAGTGAAATAGTTTAGAATAGAAATAGTTTAGACTCGGCGCGTGTAGGCCTTTTTTGATACAGTCTATGGTGCAGGCACATAGGGTGAAAAAAGGTGTGCTCTTCTTTTTCTTTCGGTGTGTTGTTTGCGTATTTGGCTGCAAGCAAAACCATAGAAATAGTAATTTTTTGCCGCGATCTGGTTACAAAAAGTAGGCCTAGGTATCGATTGAATTACTGGTTTGACTGGAGATGTTTCGGTTCTACTCCATACCGGGTTGTTTCTGTCGGTACCATAAAGGTACCGAGTAGCCATACCCATCCCTAGTTGTAGTGTAAGCACACATGTTTGGAGCTCCTTTAACTTAATTGATGCTCTTATGTTGAGCAATTTATGTATTGAGCACCAATCTACAATGAAAATACTTTGAAGTGGCACATGGCTGTTAATGAACATGCTCAAGCTGTAATGGAATTTAATGGTTAAGAATGGTTTCCTTTAAACTTCAAAGTACTTTGCCCTGTTCTTAAATTAATTCCTGCTTCTTCCTTTGATATTCACTGGACAGACTCAACCGGTTCAGATTAATGTGCGATTCAGGGAGTTTGATCCCCAAAAGTTAAAGGTGATGTAAATACAGAAGACCTGTTGATTTGGATTGGTGTTAAAGTTTCGGTCATCTATTTATGTCCTAATCCCTTTGTCTTCCTGTCAGGGGTGTGGGCTGTATATTTTATGAGATGTCTGCCGGCAGGCCCCTGTTCCCTGGCTCCACAGTGGAGGACGAGCTGCACCTCATCTTCAGGCTGCTAGGTCAGTGCTGCCCCCTGCTGACAGAGAAGCACTCAAAATTTTTAATATGATCCTTTAATCGCATTAACCCTGGCATGCAGCCCCTGTGGCAGCGTGAAAAGCCCCTCCAGCTGCCTTGGTATAAAGCCCGACTAACAGGGTCAATTGAATGTCCCTCCACAGGCACTCCCACAGAAGACAGCTGGCCTGGAATATCCTCTATTGACGAGTTCAAGTCCTACAAGTTCCCCAAGTACAAGGTCCAGCCCCTCATTAACCATGCACCCAGGTAAGACTGGGAAACTTATATTCTGAACATCTGAGTTTTCTTTAATATGGATTGATCAAATGTGGTGTGCTGCTACTTACCAAATGTTACACATACAGATATGTGGCACTTATACACCTTTACAGTTTCTTAACACTCCCCCCTTACCTCTCTTGTTAGCCCTCTAATCAATGGAGATGGAAATGAGCAAATGTTCCTAATCAGACCCAGGTATAAGAGAAGAGCTGCTACTGTATGTAGAGCATTTTAGAGTTTGTCATTAGTATTATTGGTTTGTTTAGTTAGGAGTATGTGCTCTGTGTCACTTCCTGTAAGGAAATCCTGTGGAATAGTTGACTGTGTTTCCTTCCTTACACTAGCCAGCATCTGTGAGTCACTCCCAACTCTACTGACCTCCCTCTCTCCTGGCCTCTCTCCCCCCTGCAGGTTGGACACTGATGGCATCGACCTGCTGATGTCATTCCTAAAAGTGAGTCTCACTACATCTGCCAGGCTTGAACGGGATGTTAAAAGCAGCGTGACACATTTTGCAGCTATGATAGGGCTGTATTTTTGGAAAGAAGTGCATAAAGGCGCACGAACACATTCACATGCAATCACACATTGCTGACCCCATTTTTTTTTTGTTCTTGTTCTTTAATGACTTTGTTTCTTTTACTTCCTGCGAATTTCAGTACGAGTCGAAAAAGAGGATCTCTGCTGATGAAGCAATGAGACAGCCATACTTCAGGAGCCTGGGGCCACGTGTGCACTCGCTGCCAGAGAGTGAGTAATGAAATGGCAACGCAGTAATCCAGACTTGGCAGGCTCCGCTACGTACAATTTGAAGGATATTGCAGTGTACAGTGAGGATCAGTTACGGCCTCATAACAAAGCCATTGTTCTCCTGGCAAGATGTGACTTCTGTTGCACTGACTGACTCTTTATGTCTGGCAGGCATATCCATATTCACACTGAAGGAGGTCCAGTTGCAGAGAGACCCTGGCTACCGGAACTCATCGTACCCTGAGTCCGGTGAGGAAGAATTCAAGAATGAACACTATGATGGCTTGTGTTTTTACTGTTAACTAGAGGTTTTCAAACTGTGAGGCACGCCTCCCTAGAAGCCACGGGGGGGGGTTCGAAGGGTGGGATGTGGAGGGAGAGAAGTGAGGCAAAAATACTGCATGAGGTGAAAAGAAACTAAAAACAACAGGAAGTTAGTTTTTGTCGTACAGTCACTAACAGTTGCCAGCAGTAGCTGTGACACAACTCATTGAGTTACTTGAACCATATTGCCACAAATATGTGTTTTATTTTCCTTCTGGATATTAACGCAGTCATATCTGAACATGCAGACATGATACACATATTGTTAGATTCAGTGTGACTTACACTTGCAGAGGAAATAATTATTTCTAGTGTCCACAAATAAACATCCATAAATCCGCTTAGAAATAATAGAAAAGAAAGATGCTTCTCTTGCCTGAGAATCATCACATTTTAAGATTCCTTCAGTATGAAAGAAATCCAGTGATCGACGTTGACGGGGAACGCTGCAAACAGGAACTGCTACATGCATGTATGGCAATGTACATAATACCTGTATACTGTTTACTATATGTAAGCCTCAAAGCATTGTCTGACTTTGAAATCCTACGCTGTAAACTATATAAAACAAAATAATTTATATTTTTTCTGTTTCCCCTCAGGCAACGGAAAGAGCAGAAGACAAAGCATGCTGTTTTAGATTCTCTGGACTGTATTTTTTATTTTTTATTTGGGAAGGATCTCCTAGCTGTACAGTCTCGCTGATGGATCAGTAACCTGAGATGTATGTTGGCGTGGAGCATCATCATCATCATCACTCCCCCAGAACTACTTGGGAAACTTGTCCACAGTGTGACCGACCGCCGTTCCAGGTTTGGCCTGAACCTGGCCCAAAAGAGACATTTATATACTGTACATCTATATTTATTGAGAAGAGAATTTGCTGCTAAATACAACTACTGTCTAGAATTCTAACGGGCTCAGTCACTTTAATGAATACATGCAATGTGTATAGATTTTTAAATCTTTTTTTCTTTGAAGTGGTGATATTTTTAGTGATTTTTTTTTTGTCGTTATTTCCATTTTCCTACATGCAAATCTCCACCTCAAAGCTCCTCAGTGTGTGTGGGTGTGTAAGGCACGCAGACAAACAGAGGGATGTTTCTGTAGCAACTCGAAGGGGTTTGATTTTCTGTCTGTTGCCACGGTGCCGTTCTCGGCGGCACCCATCATTTGTGACCGTTTACTCTGAAGGTTTTTGAGGCCAGCTTTGAACTGATAATTTTATCTGGAGGCTAATATGAGAGCAGTGCTGCCAAGCTCTGTGCAAACAGATCACATTCTTGTCAGATGCTGGCATATCATTCCAGGATGCTGCGGTCTCTTGTCGTGACCAATGAACAAATGCAGGGGGAAAAGAGGCGACGTAGATTTATTAACAAGGGCATTACAGGATTAGTTACGCCTCCTAAAGTCTTCAGAAAATATTTTATATATTACTACAGTGAACAGCCTTCTCATCCTTTTCCACCTCAATCTGTCACATTATCTCCTCCAGTCTGTTACAAAGAGGGGGTGCAGAGTGAATTCCCAGTGTTGATATCTGCTGCCTTTGTCCATTACAGATGTGTTCTCCTTTCTGCCATTCCCATCTAACATCAGCTGTAAAAATGGATCCTTCTTTTTCTGGATTGCCTCCAGCATTGTGTTGCATGCCTGCTCTGTTGTATGAGGAAGCACACAGTCACTGAACTCCTAATTGTGGGAGCATTAGCTATAGTCCTTCCCCTAGTGAATACGATCTATTTAACAGTGTTCCAAGAGATGTTTTGTATGATATTCTTTAACTTTATTTGTGGATAATTGTTATTGGTGTGGGATTTTCGTTGCAGATGCCCTCCCATATGAGCCCCCCCCCCCAGAGTAAAAAAATAAAATCTAAGGTTTAAACAGAAATCATATAAACTGCTTTTTTGTTCTTGTTGTATAGACTATATATATATATCTATTTAAGCTTTGCTTAATTTAAACGGCACGGTGTTCAAGCATTCAATGCTTTGTTTATTGAAAATGACAAGACATTCGTCACAATACAAAATTATACAGAATACAAACTGTATACCAAGTCCAGTATAAAAAAAAGAACATTACAAGTGTTACAAAGGTTTTTCATTGATTTGAAATCTTGTCTTCATTTAAAAGATTTTGAAAAAACAAAGAAAAATAGGACAACAAGGCACAGCCGGTACTATCTGAAAAGCTTAGTGCATACAATACAATACCACATGTGAAACTACCAGTTTCACATTGTGATAAACATTTAAGGAAAAAAGGTGTTTGTTTTTTTTGTTACAAGATTAAAATAGCCAAGCTCTCTGCGCAGAATGAGCGGCTGGCTAGTCTTTTGCAGCTAGCTACACGTCACTACTGTCCATTGTGGACAGGGTCATGTGGAAATGTGCTATACTTTATCACAAGGAGCCAGACGTCTCACAGACATCGTGGCGCATGGCTTTTACCAAGTGCTTTCAACCACTGGAGTCTGAAGCAACTCAAGTGCAAAAAAGTGAGGTCACATACTGTCAAAATTTAACAGGACGAACAAGAGATGGCTGCTGCTGATGATTGTGAGAAATTTTCAACAAGAGATGGATTAAGATGGGAGGTTTTTTGACAGACCCCGGATCAGGATTTGTGAGTGGTGGGGGACAGGAGCAGAGAGGAGGGTGTTCCTTCCAGGTTTGGCAGGGGGACAGGCATGTGTCCGTTGATTAGGCTGGGGAACTGTGGAGGAAGAGAGAGGGTCTGAGAGTTAGCAAGGAGGGGATGGAGGCTCTATGAAAGCTGCTTTCCGGTGAGGAACTGCAGCATTGTCAGTGCTCAGGTTTCCTGTTTTTCTTTTTTTTTAATTCATTGTGCCTCTTCCTTTTCGTCTCGGTCTCCTTTACCTCCACAACAGAAGGAGAAGTCAACATTTTTGTGCACAAAGAATCCGGTATGTGTGTGTATGGAGGGGGGTGTGGCGTATATGTGTGTCTGTTTCACAAATGAGGAGCAGCTCTCAAACCAGTCCACCCTGTTCAGACTGGCTCCCTTGGGCTCAAACAGGAAGTATTCACAGGATTTCCTGTCCCTCTCACAAGCGCTGAAACAGGACACCTCTGCTGGACCTGCTTACTAAGTTTCGACTAGTTTCGCAACCGTTGGTGCCTGCTGTTTTACAGATCTCACAAACATCAAGTTTTAAGTATGCTTTCAGTCAACCTGCCCAAGACCGGCACTTCATTATAAGGACATAATAGAGGGTCAATGCCAGGTATAACAAACTACTTATTCCACAGAAGTTAAGGTTATAACATCTTATTATGTCAACTTTTCTCTTCCTGTCATAATCTTTTCTCACCTGATTTTAACGACCTCTGGGATTTTGCAGGATTTCACCTGCACAGCTTCACAACTTCCTTCTCGGCTTTCGAACACTACCAGTAAACAATAATCCTTTGAGCACACTTTGTGTTCTCATCTTCTATTTTTGTCCCTCGATCTTCCTCTACACTGCACCTGTGTGTGTGTGTGTGTGTGTGTGTGTGTGTGTGTGTTTCCTACCTGGAATAGGGAGCTGTGGCCCTGCAGCCGGGCGGGGCTGAGCGGAGCGACTGGGCTCAAGCTGCTCCAGAAGTGGATGCCTGACAACAGAGGACTGTGAGCCAGCAGCAAACCAGAGGGAGTCTGTGAGGGGAGGGGGGTAAACAGAAAGGGATGGAGGCTCCGTGTAAATAAAAGAAACGAGTGAAGACAACATTTTTTGAAAGAAAAGCACTGGTTGGAGAGCATTGCTCCGAGGGCTTGGGTAATGTAAACATGCACAATTGGTAAATGGACGTGTATTGGCGTTTGAAAAAACAAACTGACGGAGCAGGAAGGAAGTCTGTGGTTTCTCCTTCAGAATACAGGGATGATGGGGGGGGGGGGGTTGTTGATTTGGGGGGGGGGGCACACTTGGAACGCCAACTAAAGAGAAAACATATGAAATCAATTTCTGCCTCTCCCCTGGTCCACCCCCCCCACCACCACACTTTCCCCCTGTGTCACCTCAGAGAAGTAAGCCAGTGTTGCGGGGGGACCCAGCCCTGCTCCCATTATTAATGGAATTATTAGAGCATATGGCATCACTTAGGGCCTCTTCCCCGCTCTCATAGCTTGGACTTGGACTGTAAATCGCTTGTTTTCGTCTGATCTCACTTTTTCTGCCCTCATAAACAGACAGTGTGAGTGAAGCATTAATGCCTTTCTTAACGTGTGGATAAGCCTCTGATGTGGTTTACTCAAATGTTAACGAATTTCTAACTGAAATAAATGATTCAATACCAGTTGACGCTTGTAGCAGAGCTTTTGGGGTTATAGCAAAGATCAAAACTAAACAAAATGTCATGGCTGGATGAATTTGGCTCCAAATTTGTGGCAGACAAAAAAGTACTGTAAAACCTGAAGCCTTCTTATAGCAGTCATGCCATTTAAGACTGGACAACCAAAAGAGGTAAAAAGCAGCTGTTTTATTTACCACACTTTACATGCAAGATTGTTTTCAAAACTTTAATTTGAGTAAAGGCATTTTTCTACACGGCCTGTTATTTGCAGCACATAAACATTCTGGCAGTAATTTTGGCTTTTACCCCGCAGAACTGTTTATCGAAAAATATTTGGAAGGTTTCATCCTGAACCAAACACAGAGTGACTCATTAAATTACTCTACATTTGCATTCGTTCAAATGATGTAAAATTCCTTTCCTTTATGACATGAAAGTGCCTGTGCACACTTTACCCTAAAATCTTACCAATTTACCTTTTTGTTTGTTGAGGACATTTTGACCCAAGTGACTACTTAAATAAATATAGTCTTTCCACCAGCACATGCCAGGCTGTGTCAGATGTCTCTTGCTGCTCTCTGAGCGCTTTAGGGACACTGACATCATACTTTGGATAGATCCCATCATCTCCCCGTGGCCAGCCAGGCCACCGCACAGAGGGGACGGAAACAGATCACAGTATTATTCTCTTTCTTGCTAAGATTTGATTATTATTGGGCTCACTGTACTTCGGCTGTGACTGGCACAGAGTTATCTGGGCTAGTTTAAATCATTGAGAGCAGAAATAAGAGAACTGGTATAAAGGTTTCAACAAATCAGGGTGTGTAAACATGTCGTGACAAGATAGAGATAAAGCAGGTTTTAGAGAAGTGTGTGCAGAAACTACCATTGTAACAGCAATAGACGATAGAAGATAGTATTTATTTTGCCCATTTTGTCCTACAATGGGCAAAATGCCGAGGAACACCTTGAATGTGTCATGAGTCCCCCAAAGTGATAATCATAATTTATAGTCTCTAAACCACCTGACTCACTGACTGCGAGAGGGAGGAAACCCATTTGAACATGTGCACACAAAGTGCCATTATCTGCACTGGCTGTGCTGCCCACAGGAAATAATAGTTGTGTATTATTCAGCTAAATCGTCTCACCTGTGCAGTGAAGAAGGCAGGAGTGAGGGAGCCAGACGGCAGTGCTGGACTGTTGAGGGCGATGGAGCCGATGTCGCTCCCTGCAAGCAGTAGGGATGGCGCAGAGATCTCCAGAGCTTTGGGCTTTTTGCTTTTTGGTGGGAGTCCATCTCCTTGGTTATTACTACTACTAGTAGAGCTACTTCTACCACTACTGCTGCTCCTCCTCTCAGGAGGCTGCAGGGCTCGCTCTCTGTGCCCAGAGGAGAGGTTGAGGGGCTGAGCGCTCTGGTCAGAGTCCTCCTCCTCCTCGGCACCAGGGCTCCAGCTTTGGCCGGGCTGGGTGTGGGGAGAGGATGGTGAGTGGTGTTTGGATAGCCTGGGGGAGATGTAGGACTCGGGTTTGGCAGAGGGAGGGGAGCTCCTTTCATTAGCACCAAAGCGGATGACGGAGCGCGGCTCCTCTTGGCGCTCCCGCAGGGCACGGAGCAGCTCAGGCTGGTTCTGCAGGGAGCTGATGCTGAAGGACGAGTAGAGACCTGAGCGAAGGTAGTCGTTCCGACATTGCTGCGCCCCCAGGGCTGCCAGGGTCCTCCTCTGGGTATCCTCCTCACCTTCCTCTTCCTCCTCCTCCTCTACCTCCAGTTCAGATGCCTCTCCTTCCTGGATGGGAAACCTTCCAGAAGCCAGGCCCATCTCTACCACCTGGGGGTCCATCTTAAGGATCTCAGGGAAGGACACAAACTTATACACAAACTTCTGGCCAATCACCTTCTTGATGATGTTCTGTAAAACAAACACACACCATTAATGAGGAGAACTCTTTACAGCATTTCTCTTTATGCACAGCAAACAGATTTTAATCTAGATAAATTAATCACGGGGACAATAAAAGTGTTTTTCTCCAGTGAAGGCAAAATGGCATACTGAAACAACTTTGTGTTAAGAGTGCTACATCACAGCCGGATTTCCACTGCCATCTGATGAGAAAGAGGAAGTGGAAGTGTCTATCAGGGGAGATTGTGGGTTAAAAGAGAAGAACAACAAAGAATTTGTTGTGGTACTACACTCCTTTCACATGCCTTCAGTTCCTATTAGCTACAAGAGCTGTAATAACATGACTAGTTGGACTCTTACAGAGCTTCTGCACATTAACCACAGTGACTACTATGACATGGTGACGTTTACTCCACCTTGTCATAGTAGTAGCGCAGGGCTCTGCTCAGCTTGTCGTAGTTCATGTTGGTCTTGTTCTTGCGCAGCCCCCACAGCTTGGCCACTTCCTCTGACTTCAGTAGCTTGAACTCTCCGTCTGTGGACGTCCAACATATCAGGTGTTTGTGGCTTTGGTCCAGCAGCAGCTGCAGCAGGAACTGCCACAGGGTGATGGCACTGTCCATACCTGCAGCAAGACATGATTAGTGGGAGAGGAGTGAAACAATTTGACTCAGATGGAGCAGAGCACTCAGCATCAAAGCCCTTATTGATTATCTTTTTAAAAACATCACTCGGTGATGTCTGAGGTCTTCCTTCTGTGGCCATTTTCTCTAGACATGACAACAATGGAACATGGGCACTGAGAGATGTCAGCAGCAGACACAGAAAAAGCACCAAAACTAACTACACAAACACTACTTGCCAGATGCTACAATAACAGAATAAGCACAAACCTCACAGGGAGACATGCTGGGTAGCTCTTTGCACTGTGCTCATTCCTTTCTGTATTTTAGACCTGTGTAAACTAACAAAACAATTAAAAATTATCTTGTGTATTTAAGGAGCCTGTTTAGAACAAGAATAGCTGATGTTTCATCTTAATTAAATGCCTTTTCCCCCTGGTTCCTGTCTTGCCAATGTAGTGCATACAGACCAAATTGGGTTACTGGCATATGAGGGAACGGCCCGTTTGAGCTGTAACATGTGGTGTAAGGAAGAGTAGACTTGTGATGAATAGAACAGTGTGTGTTAAAGAGTGTAGTGTAATGTACCAGCAGCAGAAGAGAAAAAAAATATAAGGAGGAACAACAGCTCAAGCCAGAAATATGCTGCGGTTCAACCTGGCCCTCTCTCCACAGGAAGTATGACGGGCCCAGGGTGGGTTATTCCTTTAATAGAGGAATGTGCAGCCTCGAAGCTCCTGTCTGCCTGCTAGGAGCTCACATATTAATAGTGGGGGTGAGACAACAGACAGTAACACCAGAGAAATGCTGAGAGGATTAATCGATTCATCAAATGACAGATAATAATTTGGGTGATATTTAGATAAGCGGTTAATCATTACGCCATTTATTAAGCTAAAATAACATTCCCCTTTCTAGCATCTTAGATGTAATAAATTGTTGCTTTTCAGTTCAGTTTTGTAAATGAACAATGTTTAAGACAAAAAAAAGTTATTTCAAGACATCAACTTAGGCTTTGATAAACTGTGATGGACTTTTTAAAAATTATACCATTTTGACATTTTAGATATACAGAAAATATTTTAACATGAATCGATTAACATAATTGTTAGCTGCAGGCCCAAAGCAGACAAACACAGGGCTCAAACTTTTTAGGTACCGACAGTAATGAGTCTGTAGCACTAAGTATCAAAAACGGTCAAGTACCAAGAGCTGGCAATAAATGCCAGATCAGGTTCAATAGTTGATTTGTAGTCTTTGCCTTTTCTTTAATCAGAGTTTTGCCAATTTTAGACCCTCTTCTTCAGCTGCTTGGGTGAAAAGTTTGGTTTCTTTTGTTAAGTAAAAAGGGAAATATTTCTATTCCTCAACATACAGTATCAATAAAACAGCTGTTTGGGCATCACTCAGGTATGGTTTCGGCACTAGAATTGAACTATTTCACGTTATGCTCTGCCCAACATACTGATGGACCTGACTGTGTTCTCGTCTTGTGTTCTCTTCTGTCTAACCTGCAGATGTGATTAGTGACTGATGATTAAAAACAAACAAAAAAGATAACAGAAGCGCCTTTCAACCACTACATATCTCAGTCTGGAGAGGAGAGAGAAACAGGCTGAACACATTTCCGACAAAGGCTATCCCCTGAGTTTTCTAACTGCCATGGTAAACTACAAACCTGTCAAACTCAGGACTTCCTCCTATTCTACTTCCAAGGACAAATGGTGAGTAGAGGGGATCCCACAGCAGGGGAGCATTTCCCCAGTCCTGCCACACTTCCCACAAAAATCCCAAAGGGACAAGGGTCAGAAGATCAAATCATTGTCCCCTTTCCACAGCTCCACCCTTTAACCCACTCTGAACTCAGACTTTGGTTTGGCTTTTAAACTCTTTGAAGTAAAAGTAAAGCTTGCCAACACAGAGCCTGAGCGCTGACAGGTCTACAATTAGGCCAGTGTGACTTATAAACATTCACCTTTGCAAGATGCTGCAAATAACACAGGATAACTTTAAAGTATGGAGCAGCTGGAGGTCAGAAATACCTCCTATGAAAATAGGCCATTTAAAACATTATACAGTACAATAAAGTTATAATAACCTCACTATTCATGTATACCATGAATATTAGAGGATACGCCTACCACACAGAGATTAGATCCCGTGTACCAGCCGTAAAATGAGGTGACTTACAAAACCGCAGACACGGTACAACTCTTTCTAGGAATATTACAGGGGCATTGTGGTGGTTTTGGTCGGGGATCAGGAGCTTGCTGCGGATGCTCGGACTGAGGAGTCTCGCTGCGCGCACAAAGCCATCCAGTGTTGGCTGAACGGAAACTCCTAATGAGATTAGATGGTGTGTGCAGACATTACTTAGCCATGACTAAATCTGCTCTCTTCCTGTTCGCAGACGGTGGAAAATTCAACAGGGGCCCATAAGAAAAGCATCTGTAAACAGCGGCCATAGACTCTGAGGCGGTTTTTGCATTGCTCGTCTTTTTGTTTGCCTCTTCTTTTAAAGGGGGATACTATAGATGTATCCAGGACTTAAAAGTTGCAGTAACTGTTACAGAGGTCTGAATCACTATTCCGCTCCACTGACTCATTTTCAAGATGTTGCTCGGACCGGAAGACGGCATTATTGTGTCCGAATCTAAATCGGCACTATTATTGCTAAAAACTTAAAAGTACTCTCGATCAGACGTCTAACACAAGGCAAAAACCCTCACACAAATGTGAAGTGTAAATACGGTCGCTAATACTACTAATAACGCATTATTCCACCATCCACACGCTACCAATTAGCCAACAAAGCGCTGTTCATAGGAAGACGTTTCTTTTACGTTACCTGCGATCTTTGACTTGGTCTTTTTACTCCGCGAAGTTTACGGTGAAGCTTGTGTGATTCCTTGTTTTTCCATGCTTACTTCTAGTCTACACAGTTGTACTGGACTGAAATAGGATCCTGAGCTTTTTCTTTCTCTGAGCAGGAAGTTGGAGCAGGCAGACACAGAGCCGGCTGACTTCCTCTCCCCTACGATTCCCCAGGCAGTTTGCCGTCTGTGTAAACACACTTTTCCTCCCCTCCTCTTCTCTGCCTGTCCGCTGACGGCCAGCAGTAGGCCTAACGTTACTCTGTGTCGGCACACATGCCGCAGAAACTCCTACAGCCCATAAATTGACATCACCAGGCCGCAGGGTGATGCTTTCAGGTACGGCTCGTTAGTTCAAACATTTAAAAGTCATGTGGTTTTAGGTCTTCTCCTATTTCGTTTGCATTTTCGTATAACAGGGCAGTGGGTTGGATTAAATCAGCGCCAGGGTTAGGGGATACTTTAACTGAAGTGGCCTAACTAATTCTGTGCTATTTGAATAAGAAATGCAGCTTTTGTACGACAGTAAAATGAATTTATGAAGATGGGACAGGACTCAGCGGGGGGATATTCATGTTACAGCAAAGAGACAGGCGAAGAGGTGAGAAAACTGATCAGAATAAAATTAATTGAAGAAATTAGAAAAGTGGCATATAATTCTATAAAAAGTGTAATCTATACATTATATACACTGCAATACCTTAAGACTGAATTGTGAAAATCTATTTATGCAAAAATGAGTCCAGTTGTGCAATGCTGAAATCTTTATCTAATTACTTGATATAATACAACCATGTGTCTGTTATTATAATATTATGAATATTTTAATATTCTTTTAATATTAGTAGTTTCAGTGTATGTTTTGTTGGAAATATTTAAATCAATAAATATATTTAATAAAAAAATGTACATTCATTGAATTTATTTTGTCAATATGAATAAAGGCTTGTGATTAGCCCATTTCCACCCAATGTCAAACAATGATAGAATAAACTTTACCTTCAGTTGTTGAATGTATACTTTAGCCTATGTATTGTTACTGTACAGGACAAAAGCACTATGATGGATAAGATATTGAGCTGTTTTGGTGTGAGGTCTGAGGTGATTACATTTATAATGTACAGGGTTTTTGTGTATGTGCCATTTTTGCCTTTATCTGATAATAGGGACAAACATGAAGAGCAAAGGGGGGATGACATGCAACAAAGATCCTCAGCTGGCATTAATTTGTGATCACATTTTTCTTAGAGTCACTTTGAGAATAAAATTCACTTGTTTTGGTTGTTGGTAGTAACACAGGAATTGGTTCAGTCGTTATACTTTAAATAAAATATAAGCTACCTGTCAACTCTAAAAGAGTCATCGGTCAAAGTGTACAGCAGACTTCATTCCTTCCAACACTGGAACACTTCCATGGGCTTTGCGTTTTTGTGGTTCAATCACGTGAACGCCATGTGGGTCAATGTGTCCAAAAAACTGTGGAGGTCAGTGGTCCCCATAGGTGCCAGAGGTGTATCACCGGGGAGGCGTGGCTCCCGTCTGATTGGCGGCTGAACTTTAGGCGGCTTAAAGGTGGTACCTTGGAGAGCGGCGAGCAGCGCTCACTGCAGCAGTCCCGCTGAAGCGCAATGCCTCGTTTTACTGTCCACATCCGAGGTGAGTGGCTGGCAGTACCTTGCCGGGACACCACCAACACCATCCGGTGGCTCGGACAAGAAGCTCTTAAACGTTACATGAAGAACAAACCAGACAACGGCGGAATCACGGCTCCAAAGGATGCTCGTTTTGTTGTGCGGAGGTGCCAGGATTCGGGATTGTTGGACGCGGATGACACCATCGAGGATGTACTGGAGGATAATGACTTCGTCGAGCTTGGTAATGACCATATGCATTTTAAATATATGAAAATTATGCACCACATCTGGGGGACAGTGGAGATGTTTTACCATTATCTGTGCGTAATTGTGCATGCTTAGTAATATCGACCATAGGAGACATTAAATGTACATTTTAGAGAGATATTACATTACCAATCTACCAATCATCTACCAATAACAATAAATGTGTTCAGTGAGTATTATTATCATGTACTTGCAGCTATTGAAGGCGACACCATGTCCCCTGACTTTATCCCGTGTGAGCCCGGAGTTTCTCATCTGTATCCTTAAACTACTTGTGTCATATTAATTACAGTAGGTACTTGGGTATTGCAGTTTGTACTAAATACTATTTATTGAATCAGTTTTTCATTTTGTTCATGCTATTAGACTCTTTTACATTGTGGGTAACTGACTTTTGAAAAGGTAAAATAAACATAACATGACATGGGGTTTTATCATTTCTGTTAATAAAGCCTATAGTGTAAAGGGTAACACTATATTTTGCTGAACATTATCCTTAATAAACTATGTGAAATAGTACAGCAGCATACAGAGAACCTGAAGAAGTAAGTGTTTACCTATTCTCTATTAAAATTTAAAACATATTATACTGACCACCTTGTAACAGAGGTCTCCCTATGCAGTACATTTCCTTGGATGGCAATAGCCTGACATCGACTGATCTCGTCAACTTAGGAAGGGGACTTTACAAGATAAAGGTAATGATCAATAAATTGTATTTGTTGTCATGGCTGATCTGTAGTAATCTTTGACTTAACGTAATCATTGCCTTTACCAACGTTTTCAGCTGACCCTGGAGGCAGAAAGAAAAGTTGTGCAATCCAGAGAGCTTTTGGACACCATTGTCAAAGAAAACAAAGGTTAAGATATATTAAGAATAAAGACTTAAAGTTAACCAACTACAGTAAAATTACAGTATTTCAGAAAACAATTATCCATGTATTTAGTTCTCTGCATCTCTCTGTCTGTTCCTCCAGTTGTCTATGGAATCACAACAGGTTTTGGCAAATTTGCCCGAACAGTCATTCCTGTCAGCAAGCTCAAGTAAAGACAATATTTTACTATCTGTTTTCTTTGTTAATGTTTAATCTTCTGTCTGCGAATAAGCCGTTTTTATGTGCCGATTGATGGCCACGCCCTTCTTGTTCCACAGGGAACTGCAGGAAAATCTGGTGCGGTCACACTCCGCAGGTAATACAACTCTCTGTAAAACTCACTTTAAAATCTAGACATTTTTAAATGTCGAGCTATTCACTGCACCCTACAAAGTGTCTTAGGCTTTGCTGTATTTATATTAGCATCATCAATGTTATGCTGTGGCGTGTAGGTGTGGGAAACCCGCTAAGCCCAGAAAGGACTCGCATGCTGCTTGCTCTGAGAATCAATGTTCTGGCCAAAGGGCACAGTGGAATTTCTCTGGAAACCCTTCATGCCATGATCCAAGCCTTCAACGGTAAGCCATGAGGGCTCACTTTACCATAGCTAACCAGGGATCAGAGCTTCGGTCCACTGCTGATGACCTTTTTTAAGGGATCAATATTGGAGAAGCATGACTAATCTTCACTTCTAACTTACTCTGTCCCTGCAGCTTCCTGCCTCTCCTTTGTCCCAGAGAAGGGAACGGTGGGTGCTAGTGGAGACCTGGCACCCCTTTCTCACCTGGCTCTGGGGCTGATGGGAGAGGGTAGAATGTGGTCTCCGAAGAGCGGCTGGGCAGATGCCAAATATGTAAGATCTTATAGATAAAATTATCATAATGACTTTTCCATGGTTGTACAAAAATAACTTGCTTAATGCTGCAGGAAATGTGCTCATAGGAGTGAAAGGTTGCAAGGTCCAATAAGACAACATGTTTGCTTATTGATTCCATGTTTTTTCTCCTTTCATCTCTGGCCAGGTCCTAGAGGCCCACGGACTTAAGCCAATATCACTAAAGCCTAAAGAGGTAATGTTTAAAGACAGTCATATTTGATTTGCATGCTCTAAAGGACCTGACCTGGGGTTCACTGGGAACATATTTTACATCTACAGAATTTAAAACAAGAATAGTGTTTACATTTACAATTATACAGCACAATATAGTGCACACTGCATTGCCTTTTCCTAGTGGCTTCTTTAAGCAGAAAAGACGTCTGGTAACACTTTCTATGAAGGTCATCGCTATGACTTATGCATACATTTATAACACGATATAATGAGTCCATAAGACATTATAACAATTGCTGTAATCACTTACAAACATGCATTAGGTGCTATAGCAAAGTTCATAACGTATTATGACCTATTGATTTAATGTTTTATAACTAATAGTAATACCAGTTTATATCAATGTGCGCCAAGAATCTCCGACCATGTTCCATAGTACGTTATAACCATCGACTCTGCCTCGTTATAAATACACTTTAGTCACAATTTAGAATTAGAGATATAAAATGGAATAATAGCTTATAGTAATGTTTAATGTTATATAGCATGTCTTTGTTTGCTTTAAGTAAAGTGTTAAAATGTCCATCCCTGTATAATATATTAAAGGTGGACATAATACCATATGAACTAATTATAAGACCTTATAACACGTAATTGTTTGCTTTAAGTGACACACATTTTGTGCAGGTAAACAACTTTTATTTATGTTTCTTCACTTGATGAACACTGTATGAATTTTGAACATTTTGCAGTTTAGCACAAAACACATCATAATTACATCAAGAAAACTCATTGTCAGGGTGGTGAAAGATCGCTCAAGAGAAGACCTGTTGCCAACCATATAACATCATGTAAGAAGAGGCTCAGATGTTGTCACAGATGAATGGCAAGCCTATGGACAGGCCCTAACAGATGCAGTGGAGAATTGGAGACAACTGCTTCACAAAACGTCATCAAAGGACATTTAAAAGTAATTGAATGGAACTGAATTGAACATTATACCAAAAGGTCATAATACATTATAAACTTTGCTATAGCACCTAATGCATGTTTGTAAGTGATCATAACAATTGTTATAATGTTTTATGGGCGCATTATATCGTGTTATAAATATATGCATAAGTCATAACGATGACCTTCATAGAAACCGTTATAATGTACTATGGAACATGGTCGGAGATTCTTGGCGCACATTGATATAAACTGGTATTACTATTAGTTATAAAACATTAAATCAAAAGGTCATAATACGTTATGAACTTTGCTATAGCGCCTAATGCATGTTTGTAAGTGATTACAGTAATTATTATAATGTCTTATGGACGCATTATATCGTGTTATAAATATATGCAAAAGTCATTATAACGATGACCTTCATAGCTACCTAACCCTAACCCTAACCCTTCATAGAAAGTGTTACCAGACGTCCTTCTCACTTCCTTACAGGGTCTTGCTCTGA